AAACCGTTAAAATTAAGTTGCTTAATTAAACTATCATTAAAAAAGATTAAAATAATATATTTTAAAGTAAGAATAAGATCATTTTGGTCCTTTTTGGCACTTCTTTAATGAATTTGTATTTTTTTTCTTCTAATTTTTTAGAGTTTTAAGTAATAAACACTAATCTCCTTAATATTTATCTTAATTAATATTTTACATATTTTTAAATAATAATAATAATAATAATAATAAAACAAAGCAAAAGAAAACAAAACCTCAACATCACACAGAAATCCCGTACATAGCCGTAAAAACAGGCAGTTGAAAAGTTCAAACATTACCAGCTAGAGGAAACCCTCATAACCTGTTTGGTTGTAGGGAAATGGTAGGAGGGGTAGGACATGGAAAGTTAGATTATTTCAACAAATTAAATTAGGTTTTTAAGTCAATGAAATAATTTGATTGGTTAAAATAATTTTCCCTCCCTTTCCCTCAAACTGAAGAGGCTAACAGTGAATTTTGAAAAACACATTATACCTTGAGTTTGGGGTTTTGTAGTCTATAACCTGCATGAACAATAAATACCTTAGCCCCATGATCAATGGGGTAGTCTATCACTACCCCCACAAGGACCTTATTGATCATGGGATTAAGGTATTTTCAGTCTGCATAGGACAGACTACAAAACACTTCATTTGTTATAACTTTATTGTAACTGAATTCATATTCATTCGTGAAGGAGATTATATGTAAATCAGTCTGATATGGTAATGGAATCAAGAATGTTTGCTTCTGTATAGACAAGATCGACAAATTTTGTCCAAGGCATGTACAAATACAATGCAGGTCAAATCGTACAAGGTTCCTGTTACAAGACCACCTATGACTTACCAACGGTGCACTGAAGCGCCTAATGGTTGCAGCTGCAAAAGGTTAAGCAACCATACCTCAGCAATGCTATACTTGTATCCTATGTTGTAACTAGCTGCAAGGCTTGACTTCTGTATTCTTGTTGTTTAGTAGTTTATAACTAGTTGGTCTCATGTTCCATGAAATGTGCTGCCTGTGGTGCTTGAAAGGATAATAAAGGCACAGACCACAGAGAGTGAGAACACAGACACCCAGGTGTTTTCCGTGTACATCTCTATTGCATCTGTAACTGAGAACCGTGTACGGCTTTCTGCCCAGTTGCGGATTCTGTCTGCCTCCGAGGCATACAATGCTTTCCCCTGAAAGGTAAACTCAGCAAGTTCTCTTAGTAGGAAAAAAATCAACCAAGCAGAAGAATTAGAGGCATAGAATAGACTAGATCAATAGTCAACAGACATTGATTATAGAGTACCCTGTGATGAGTTAAAAATCGTTTTCACTCTGCTCAACTAAGATTTAGGTACAAAATGTTGAATTCTCAGTATACCCAATGATGAATGAGTTGCAAAGTATTGCAGTTATGACACCAGCATAAACATCAAACTAATTAAGCTGCATAATATATCATTCAAAATTTTGTTATCATGAAGCAACAATGTGGTGCTTCAGGAAAAGAATTACAATTACCTCTTCATCAAACCAGCGACCCTGTCGTAGCCATGCAGTGACTAAAGCAAGTAATATCCTGGGTGGAGTCAAGTAATTGATGGCCTTGCCTGTCCCTTTTACAACCCTCATTCGTGGAACTAAACTTCTAGCAACAGTTTCAGGAAGCTCACAGATAATGTTAAACATTTGTTTGTTCTTTGTAGTAGATCCACTGCAAAAAAGGTGTAAAACAAAGTGTTCAAAGTATTGCATCCATACAAGACACCCCAGCTAACTCACAGCAAAAAGAAAAAGAAAAAGAAAAAGAATAAGAAGAATAGAAAAGAACACACATAGATAGAAGAGAAGGTTACAATGTTTCTTATCCTTTATTGGGTGTGTGTGTTAAATCAACCAGGCAAAGAGCATCAACCTCTTAAACTGGTTAGCATAAGTTGCTGGGAATGCTTTAATTCCCAACATAAGTAACATAAAGAGTATCACAAGAATCATGATGTGTCAAAATACCTCAAGAGCAGCTCTGTAAGGACCATGCCTGGAGACGCTGTATGAATTCCTACTTTAGATCCCTTGCACTCCTTCAAAAGCGATGCATGAAGCTGTCTGAGGCCACACTTGGTTGACCCATAGCTACAAGTTTGAGAAGTAAAGAAGGTAAAAAACAGGATAAACCACCAAAAACCTATTGAGCACTCTGAGTGTGGATTAGTTCCTACCCTGAGAAAAAAGAAACAAATTCCAATGATAGATGATGACAACTTACACAGCAGTCAAAGGAGTGCTAGATCCCCCAGAACCTGCACCATCCATGTTAAATACATTGCCTCCCCTGGGTTGGTCGCTCATTATACGCATGGCTTCTCTAGTGCAGAGAATAGAACCAACCAGATTTGTCGAGACAATCTATCACAAAATCAACTAGTGAGAGAATAAGCTAAAGAACTCACAAACATTTTCAGCATTTACCCAAAAAGTTCATTGCATGCAATCCAAATATTTGTTTCACATATATACTTTCCATGAGAGAGGATTAACACTACTTTTTCTCTTTGGGTACATGAGGAAAGTTAAAGTGCTTAGTATCACAAAGTTTGAATCCCTAACCTTTCCACTAGAACCAAGTATTTTAGGTTAGTAGTTAACCAACTAGACTAAGCTCTAGCTGGTGATTGGAAGTTTGACAACTAAATAAATCAGGAGAGTTTCAATCCAGATAATCATCAATAGGCAGTTACTAATTATTAAATGTCCAAGCTTCTAGGAATCAGTGTTATAATCTATTGAGCTAATGGGGCTTGAACATATAGGAAAACAGAACTGTTCAGATATAACTATCTAATAAGTAAAATCGAGTAGCATTCAGATACAAATACCTGTTTAATATCATCATCAGTAAATTGAAGCAACGGTCTAAAACCTTTGTTAGTGCCAGCATTGTTTATCTGTCACAGTGTTGAAAATTCAATCAGAAGCAGGCAGCACATAATTTGCACTACTTATGGAGAGCTGCAAATGTTCTTTATCCAATCTCAAACACAAAGGAAGTAAGCTTGGAGGTAGAGAGGGATGTAAGATACATATGGTTTTGCGACAATGCTGCTGGTGCATTTTCTTTTACTTTTCAAATAGTAGAGTATTATCAGGCTTTATACTCACCCAAATGTCAACAGAACCAAATTCATTGAGAGCAAAGTTTGCCAATTTCTGCACATCGGTAGGTTCACAAACATCACATGTTATGCCAACTACTTTTGCATGTTCCAGATTCTTCTTAGATTGGCCACTTGCAGCCACCATACCCTCCTTGAGGTTCTCCTCAAGTTCTTTGACAGTCATTTGAACAGATTCAGGACTGCTTTCACAAGATCCAAAGTATTCAAAAGGTGACATTAGAAATTTATAAAGGAAAATCATATGCAGAACCATAAAACTGATTTATATATTTGTATTCCACCTGCGAGAAGCAACAACCACGCGATCTCCAGAAAGAAGAAATTCTCGAGCAAGTGCTTTCCCCAGTCCCCTTGTGCTACACCAGGCCAGTTAAAAATGCAAACCATAACACAGATACATGAGTTCTCTTTATTCCCAATCCATTAGTCGCACAGATATGGAAAACTATATTCTACAAAGTAAAAGACGATTTCAAGTTCATTTTTAAACATCTCCAACTTCCTCTTGATGCAAATAAAAATTAAAGGCCGGAGTGAGAATGGTAAGGGTTATGAGCAACCTTGATCAACTAGATTTGAAATAACTTTATTATGTGAAACTAGTCATTAATCTTACAAAATAAGAATAACAAAGAAAGGTATTAAAATAAACCAAAGAGATGTACCTTCCAGTTATAACCACATTTCTTGCACCGGCTCGACAGTGCTCATCTAGAACCAAATTAGCCCCAACCAAAGTTCCAATGACAATTCCTCCAAGCCAGCTATACCAAACCAGATCATTCATCTGACTGTCTCCACCTGGAAGAAATTTGGACATTATTATTACATTCCCCCTCCCAATTACCCAACAAAAGTGCAGACGATTGAATTCCAACGTGTAGATCATAATTTTAAACAAAAGAGAACGATTCAACATAAATGAGCACAATTTATCCATATATCTTCCTAACCTGACAACTGCAAGCCAATAACAAGTATCACCCCTGTGCTCATCATGGTCACAATATATCTTCCTACTTGAACACCAATCTGCCCAACAAAGAAACCAAAAAAGGTAAAATTAGAGTTGTAAAGAGACTTCCTAGTATGAATAAACACATAATTTTTAAAGCTGGTACTAATAACTACAAAACTACAAACATTAGTCATGTTTGCCATTATCTCCCTTGGAACTAAAATTGTATAAATCTTGGCATAAATTACTCTACTTTTGAGCATGGAAATTCATTAAAACATGCATTGCCAAATTTCTCAAAAAATTTAAGCAATTTAACTTAATACAGAGAAACAGTAAATGGAGAATGAATTAAAAAAAAAAATTGTGAACAATTAACACAACTCACCGTAGAGAAAACCCTCTCAATTTTGGCCATAGAATTTTTATACTCATCATGTGAACTAACCCCCAGAACAACAGATTTCAAACTTTCCCAAAACCCACTTCCCTTCTTCAGCTCAACTTCATTTTCCTTCACAATCTCACTCTTTCGCTCACTTTTCGACTCCCCATCCCCAACTCCCCCTCCACCACCATCACTCCTAAACGACCTGCACGGTTTCACATGCAACCCATGATGGAGCCGGGGCACCCCTACACCGGACCGAACAAACCCAGCTCTAAGGCCACTCCTTTGCCGGTTCTTAAAACAAAAGTAAGGATCTTTCTGGAAAGTGCATGCGTGGATCTTCATCACCGTGGCCATTTCAGTGAAAGAATGAATCTAACAACCAGTTTCATGCAAATCTCGGACAATAAAAAATGGGTTCTTTTCTCAATCCAGTACAAGTAGGCCGATTTTGTGTGCAATCTCCTTTTATGTTGGAAAAGTTAAATAAAGGATTAGGCGAAGGTAGATGGGGAAGTGGGAGGAGATTTGGGGGAGGTCTTAGGTGGAGCAGTGTGATGACCACACGTTCAAGCAACCTCATCTGCCGTACTTGGTGACTGACACGTGGCATGATTTCCGCGCCTTAGACCTCAGATTTGTTTCTTTAAACATGAACAATTATGGAGAATTGAGCGATTTTTTAAGGGAAAATGTTATTGGGGGACCGTCATTTTATTATTATTATTATTATTTTATATAATTTAATGTATCATTAAAGTGATTGATTTTTTAATTTATGTGAAATTTATGATATTAAATATATTAATTTATTTAATAATATGTAAAAATTATATAAAAATATAAGATAAAAAAATTATTTTTACAATATCATTATTTTTTAAATAATTGATAAAAATTCAATTTTCAACTAATTAAACTTAAATATTAAAATTTTGAAAGACTAACTATTAGACCGAAGACCCGATTCCTTAGACCTCAGTTTTTCGTTTTTTATCAGTACAAATTCCATTCACTAATTATACATAAAATATCACTGAGTGTGGATAGATATATTTTTATATCACTTTTTAATATAATTTTTA